AAGCTGTATTTTTATTTTTATTTTGTGCAGGAAGCACCTCCCCATTGTCATATACTAGCAAGCATGTTTCTGCACTTACCCTTGAATGCAATAAAAATTCCTTCTTATGATTGCTGTTGGCCAGAGGGTCAGATAAGTTGCAATCCATCACCCGTTAAGTTGGGAACTCCCTTGTCTTTTGAATAGAAAGTGAAGCGAAAAGGAAACTCGCCGTTTCCTATATCATCCTTCTGGGGATCCTGCACGTGTCGGCAAAAGCCACTTAAGACAACATTTTCGTTGGAAGGCGGAAGGAAATGAAGCTGTGAACAAGCAAACAACACTCCCTCTCAGGACCCGAGCGAGGTAGATATCTCCAAATCTTTATGGAACAGAGGCTGCTGTTTGTTCAAAGCCACTTTTGCTCATCAAATTCCCTTCAAATGTTTAGGACTACAACTCCCATCAGCCTCTGCAAGCACTAGGTTGGCAGGAGATGCTTTAAAACATGGGTAAGCACACTAAGGGACGCGGGTGGCGCTGTGGGTTAAACCACAGAGCCTAGGACTTGCCGATCAGAAGGTCGGCGGTTCGAATCCCCACGATGGGGTGAGCTCCCGTTGCTCGGTCCCTGCTCCTGCCCACCTAGCAGTTCGAAAGCAGGACAAAGTGCAAGTAGATAAATAGGTACGGCTCCGGCAGGAAGGTAAACGGCGTTTCCGTGCGCTGCTCTGGTTTGCCAGAAGCGGCTTAGTCATGCTGGCTACATGACCCAGAAGCTGTACGCAGGCTCCCTCGGCCAATAAAGCGAGATGAGCGCCGCAACCCCAGAGTCGGCCACGACTGGACCTAATGGTCAGGGGTCCCTTTACCTTTAAGCACACTAAGGCCCGGGGGCCGGATCTGGCCCAATCGCCTCCTAAATCTGGCCGGCAGACAGTCCAGGAATCAGCGTGTTTTTACATGAGTAGAATGTGTGCTTTTATTTAAAATGCATCTCTGGGTTATTTGTGAGGCATAGGAATTCGTTCATTTTTTCCCCCTTCCAAAATATAGTCCAGCCCCCAACAAGGTCTGAGGGACAGTGGACTGGCCCACTGCTGAAAAAGTTTGCTGACCCCTGCTTTAAAAGAATGTAAATCCTGCTTCTAACCTGCTAAAATATATTCCTCCCTGCTCCAGAGTTCTTTGGGGACCTTCAGACTGTATTTTGCGGCAGGCGGGGCGGATCTGAGCAAATACCAGAACTTTAGGCTTCTGCAGTTAAGTGGATTTATAGTGCATTGTCACTCTTACACAACAAATTCACTTTAAAAAGGGGAAAAAGCCACGACTTTTTGCAGTTTGGAAAGTGACAGTGGAATGTTTTGAAAAATGCGGGACAAATGGATGGTTGGGGGAAAGACATGTAAACACTTTGCAAGAAATTCAGGTTTGAAACAGGGTTGTCAGATAGGTATCCTGTCCACAAATCAGAATGAATGATAAGGACCAGGCATAGTCTAACTACAGCATAAGCTCTGCGCAAGCAAATCAGGACGAATGCGCAATAAACAGGTCACCTGGAGAAGCCAGTCGTCATAGCCCACCTTCGTAAAACTAATACCGGTACTCTTGCCACAAACCCCACGCTTGTGGGAATTTTACTATCCTCCATGCTCTGACTGCAGAGTATACTTGACTAAAGAACAGTGATGTCTAGCACTGGAAGGCAAAAATTGTGGATGGGGGAATCTGCCATTTTTGTTGTTCTTGTTGTTTCTCTCGGTTTCTCATTTTTTCTATTCTTAAATTCAGTTCGCCTCATTGCAATTTGAAGAAGTCCACATGGAAATTTATATGCATTTATCCTATGGTTTTCCCGGTAGTGATGTATGGAAGTGAGAGCTGGACCATAAAGAAGGCTGATCGCCAAAGAATTGATGCTTTTGAATTATGGTGCTGGAGGAGACTCTTGAGAGTCCATGGACTGCAAGAAGATCAAACCTATCCATTCTGAAGGAAATCAGCCCTGAGTGCTCACTGGAAGGACAGATCCTGAAGCTGAGGCTCCAAGACTTTGGCCACCTCATGAGAAGAGAAGACTCCCTGGAAAAGACCCTGATGTTGGGAAAGATGGAGGGCACAAGGAGAAGGGGACGACAGAGGACGAGATGGCTGGACAGTGTTCTTAAAGCTACGAACATGAGTTTGACCAAACTGTGGGAGGCAGTGGAAGACAGGAGTGCCTGGTGTGCTCTGGCCCATGGGGTCATGAAGAGTCAGTCACGACTAAACGACTAAACAACATCCGCAAAGAAACATACATAGCATACAACTTCGCTTAGTATAAGCACCCCTCACCCCAGGGGCGTACGAAGGGGGGGGCAGAGTTGGCAGGCCCTGGGCACCACTCGGGGGTGGTGCCCCTCCAGCTGTAGAGTGGCCGATGGCGTGCACTCAGTTAGTATGGGCGCCACTTGCACGGTGACTGTATGAGATGCCGTGCATGCACAGTCTGTACGGATGTTGCGCATGCACCACCGGGCGGTTTGCCCCACTCCTTGATGTCCCGCCCCGGGTGCTGGAGAGGGTTCCTCCGCCACTGCCTCCCCCTTATAGAATGCATTTTTGTACATTATTCCCCTTGACATGCGAATCTTTGCATGCATTCTTTGGTCAGAGAAAATCGGAGATGGTGCGAATTTCAAGTGAAGCTGGGACACTTATGTTCAAAGGCGAACTGAATGCATGTCTCTGCCACCCCTGGCAAAAGCCATGCTTCGTACGAGCCAGTTTTCTCATTTTGCTAAAAAGCAATCAATTTTGGAAGCCTCGTTACACGGCTTCTTTGCAGAACCATCTCGAGAGGCTCCCAGGAGATGAGTGACAGGCCCATGGCTCCAGCAATGAGGCACAGTGGCATGAAAGGCCATAAACTATTCAGCAGGCTTGCGGTTCCCCTGCTCTCAATGGGCCCCGAGCCCTCTCTGGAAGCGTCTTGCTTTTTCCATCCCATCGGAGCAGTCCTCGTGGGAAGGGACTAGCTGCTGAAGGGGAGTTAGAGAAGCTATTTTAAGGCCCAGAAAAGGGAGAGGGAGAAGGGGGAAAGGCTTTGCAAAAGCTATTATTCATCTGTCAGAAGGCCCCATGTTCGTGACCACAGTGAAATATCATGCAATAATTACATTCAAGGTTAGTGGTTTGGCAGCGGGCGATGCCGTTCTGGCTTTGTACGGAGGACAGCGAAGGTGTCTTCTATTGGATCGACTTCTGCGCGCTGTAGAGTGGCCGAGGGCGTGCACAGTTAATATGGGCGCCGCTCGCATGGCGTCCAAACGGGCTGCCGCTCTCGTTCACCATCCGTACGGGCGTATGTATGGACTGCCACATGCACCATCCATGCGAGTGTCCCTACGGGCTGCCGCGCATACGCAGTCAGTATGGGCTGCCACGCATGCACAGTCCGTACGGATGTCTGCGTCCGCCACTGGGCGGTTCACACTGCCCCTTAGCGTCCTGCCCCAAGTGCTGGAGAGGGTTCCTCCACCACTGTCTGCACATTCATTTAGGCTTTAGAGTTACAGTGGTACCTCAGGTTAAGTACTTAATTCATTCTGGAGGTCCGTACTTAACCTGAAACTGTTCTTAACTTGAAGCACCACTTTAGCTAATGGGGCCTCCCGCTGCTGCCGTGCCACCGGAGCACGATTTCTGTTCTCATCCTGAAGCAAAGTTCTTAACCTGAAGCACTATTTCTGAATTAACACTGTCTGTAACCTGAAGCGTATGTAACCTGAAGCGTATGTAACCCGAGGTACCACTGTACACAGAAAGCTTCATCGAGAATCACCGTATTTTTCGCTCTATAAGATGCACCAGACCACAAGACGCACCTAGTTTTTGGAGGAGGAAAACAAGAAAAAAAATATTCTGAATCTAAGAAGCCAGAACAGCAAGAGGGATCGCTACACAGTGAAAGCAGCGTGAAAGCCTCTTGCTGTTCTGGCTTCTATGATAGCTGCACAGCCTGCATTCGCTCCATAAGACGCACACACATTTCCCCTTACTTTTTAGGAGGGAAAAAGTGAGTCTTATAGAGCAAAAAATATGGTACTTGCTCTCCTCTTTACTTAAATCTCCCTTTGTGTAGAGATTTTCAAAAGGGTTACATGACAAATCTGAAGAATCATGAACTGTGCAGGCTGTTTATGCTAGCCAGATTTAATATGTTTCCCTCGATGATAGTAAGAGGAAGATATTTAGGTCTCCCAGAAGCAGAGCGTCTCTGCAAATGTGGTACGGCAGGAACATGATATGCTGGAGCATATTTTCTTTTCTTGTGATTTGGGCATTCATGCCAGAAGACAATTGTTAGAGGCCTTACAACCTAACAGGCTCGATTCTATGCCGCCAACGGTTCAGGACCTGCTCTCGGACAGGAATGATCAAATTACTTTGATAGTGGCTAAATTTTTGAGTGCTGTCCCTTTGGAAAGACTGGGCCATTATAGAGAGATTTCGTGGTTCTTGATTGGTCAGTGGTGTGGTAGTGTTAGACTGTATTATTTATGCAAATTGTTATGCCGAATTCGTATTTTCCACAATCTGTATAAGGTATTTGTTTTATGTGTGGTTGCTATGCCTAATAAAGGATTGATTGAATTACCATGGAAGCGATCAAAATGGATGGCTGCCTAGGATGACTGCAAAAGGTTCAGGTGGGGTTATGATATGATGCTGTTGAACATCCACGCGAAATCGTTGAGTCAGGATATCTGGGGATACGGAGTGAGATCTCACCAGCTTGCTGAGGGAACTGAGCTCCACCTCTCTTTTCCGTCTAAGAAGCTGCGCAAGGCCTGCAATCAGTATTGGAATGGATTGGTGCCGACAAAGTGAAGCTCAGCCCAGAGAAGGTGGAGGTGCTGTGTGTGGTTTGGACAGAGGGGTGCTATTTAATCTGGATGGGGTCACTTGCCCCTCCTTAAAGAACTCCTGTCTAATGTTCTATTTCCTGTCTCACCAGCTTAGGCTGGTGAGCCTTAGGTGGCGCAATGGGTGAGCATGTTTGGCTGTTGACCAGGAGGTTGGTGGTTCGAGCCTACCCAGGAGTCCGCTGTGGGCAAGATTTCTGCAAGGGTCCTTTCCAACTCTTAGATTCTATGATCTACTGTGATACTTACTGGACAGTCTGACCACAATTATTCACGCACCGGTAGAAAACAAGTTAGTGCAAAATACAGCAGCATTTTGCCAACAAAGGTCTGTATAGTTAAAGCTATGGTTTTCCCAGTAGTGATGTATGGAAGTGAGAGCTGGACCATAAAGAAGGCTGATCACTGAAGAATTGATGCTTTTGAATTATGGTGCTGAAGGAGACTCTTGAGAGTCCCATGGACTGCAAGAAGATCAAACCTATCCATTCTGAAGGAAATCAGCCCTGAGTGCTCATTGGAAGGACAGATCCTGAAGCTGAGGCTCCAATACTTTGGCCATCTCATGAGAAGAGAAGACTTCTTGAAAATACTGATGTGTTGGATCTTGAAGGTTTCAATAATGCATTTGGCTGGCATGCATATTTGTGGTATGATAAGGTAAAAGCACATAAAGTGTTTAAAAATCATATTGTTAGAAAAGCATTGTTTAATGTTTGGATAAGATATAAGGATTTGTTAAAAAAGAAAACCCCAAGATGGTTGTCACCAATGGAAGCGAAGGCACAGAAAAAACTCAATATGGAGGCCAAATGGCCGAAATATTTGGAAATTCTGGATCAAGATGGAGACAGAATAAAATTGCAGAGTTTTGAAAAATTGAAAAACAAAGTGCGAGATTGGCTCCATTATTACTAAATAATGGAGGCATACAATTTGGACAAAAAAGTTGGTTTCCAGGTGGAAAAATCAAAATTGGAAACAGAATTGTTAGATCCAAAAATCAAGAATTTGTCAAGAATGTATAACTTGCTGTTGAAATGGAACACTCAGGATGAAATGGTGAAATCAGCTATGATTAAATGGGCACAAGATGTTGGACATAACATAATGATGGCTGACTGGGAACAGTTATGGACCACAGGTATGAAATTCACGGCATGTAATGCCCTAAGAGAAAATTTAATGAAAATGATTTACAGGTGGTACATGACACCAGTCAAGCTTGCAAAAATTTACCATTTGCCTGACAATAAATGTTGGAAATGTAATGAGACTGAAGGTACATTCTTTCACCTTTGGTGGACATGCCCAAGGATTAAGACATTCTGGGAGATGATTTATAATGAAATGAAAAAGGTATTTAAATATACCTTCCTGAAGAAACCAGAGGCCTTTCTCCTGGGCATGGTCAGCCAATTGGTGCCAAAGAAGGATAGAACTTTTTTTATGTATGCAACAACAGCAGCAAGAATACTCATTGCGAAGTATTGGAAGACACAAGATTTACCCACCCGGGAAGAATGGCAGATGAAGTTGATGGACTATATGGAACTGGCGGAAATGACTGGCAGAATCCGAGACCAGGGAGAAGAGTTGGTGGAAGAAGACTGGAAAAAGTTTAAAGACTATTTACAGAAATACTGTAAAATTAATGAATGTTAGGAAAATGTTGGAATGAAGTTATATGGCTTTAGTAGAAATGTTATAAGGAATTAAGTATAAATAGATTAATAGAGTATTAAAGGAAAAAATAAGGCTAGAATGTGTTAAGATAATTATAGGATAGAAAACAGAGGAAGATGGAAAGGAATTGCTGAAACAATTAACAGAAGTGGAATACGAAAAGGGAGGTGTGAGGAGGTCGTGGAAATAAGTGAATGAAAGATAAGATATTGAAATTGTTTGATGTGTTTTAAACTGTTTTTGCTTTGTTTTGTTAGTTTAATGTGTTAGTGTTATGTAGTGTTTTTGTATTGTATTGTATTGTTTTTGTAGTGTTTAAATTGTTGGAAAAGTAATAAATATTATTTTCAAAAAAAAAAAAAAAAAGAGAAGACTCTCTGGAAAAGACCCTGATGTTGGGAAAGATGGAGGGCACAAGGAAAAGGGGACGACAGAGGGCGAGATGGTTGGACGGTGTTCTCGAAGCTACCAGCATGAGTTTGACCAAACTGCGGGAGGCAGTGGAAGACCGGAGTGCCTGGCGTGCCCTGGTCCATGGGGGTCACAAAGAGTCGGACACGACTAAACGACTAAACAACAACAGCAGCATATTGGGACCCAATGTGAAAGAAGAATGTTATGCAAATTCCAGAACAGCTATGCTGGCAGCAGGTCCATTTCTGGCTGTAATTCGAAGTCCTGATTTTAACCTGCAAAGTACCAACCGAGGATGGAGAGGAACCTATGGCCTTCCAGATGTTGTTGCACTCCAGCTGATCCCACGAGGAATAGAGCATGAGACAGTCACCTCCCCAAAACTGCTGTCCATGGCTAAGGAGTTGCAACATCTCCACACAGCCCTCCTGGCAGGGAGCCTGATCCCTTCACAGCTGTATGACAGGGAGAAATTCAACAGAAATAGCTGTCCCCAGCATGCTATATCTTTGCCTGTTTTGCAGTGGTTTAAAGAACAGGAAGGGACGCGGGTGGCGCTGTGGGTTAAACCACAGAGCCTAGGACTTGCTGATCAGAAGGTTGGCTGTTCGAATCCCCGCGATGGGGTGAGTTCCCGTTGCTCGGTCCCTGCTCCTGCCAACCTAGCAGTTCAAAAACACGTCAAAGTGCAAGTAGATAAATAGGTACCACTCCAGCGGGAAGGTAAACGGCATTTCCGTGTGCTGCTCTGGTTTGCCAGAAGCGGCTTAGTCATGCTGGCCACATGACCCGGAAGCTGTATGCAGGCTCCCTCGGCCAATAAAGCGAGATGAGTGCCGCAACCCCAGAGTTGGTCACGACTGGACCTAATGGTCAGGGGTCCCTTTTCCTTTACCTAAAGAACGCAAGCTTTGCGCTGCACAGATGGACCCTAGTGTACCCAGATCTTCAGATCTCTCTCTTCTCTCTTTGCTTATTTCCCCGTCCTGCAATTAATTCCAGCAATCCACAAGGCAGGTGAATGCATCTTCCCAGTCTTATGTAACTGCTCCGCTATACTGGTTACCATGGCAACAATGAAAGCCCCATCAATGCATGTGTAAATTGACACACACTTAGCAACAAGAGGCTTCCATAAATGGAAAGCTAAACCCCCGTTTTATTCATGCTTTCTTATCAAGTATATTTGGAAAGCAGGCATTAAAATTAGCTAGGGATGGAGGTTGCTCCAGACAAACGCCAAACCAGAACAATTTACTCTTTTTTTGGGGGGGGGAGCAGTTTTTTCCAACAGTATTGAAAAACACATCCCTTTCCCAACTATTTTTCAGCACCGCTTCCAAATTCATTTGCTTTGCCCCTTCTCCTGCTTTCCCCACCTTCGTCGACTCTCAATGATGCACCACACAGCTCAGTCTTGCTGACTATCGTGCTCTCATCTCATTCATTTTTCGATCCCTGGTTGCCCTATCTTTCCATTGACTTTTGCCCACAGGGACATCATCATGTAGCTCAGGGTAAGAAGCCTTTCAGTGGCGAGGGCCATGTTCCTTCTGGGAAGCCTCACAGGGGCCACCAGGCACCACCAGGGCAGTCTTAAGCATATCCGGCGCCGTGGTGCAAAGCTCCCCCCGGACCCCCCCCGTTTTCCAAAGTTTAATAATAATAATAATAATAATAATAATAATAATTTATTTATACCCCGCCCTTCCAAGTTCAAAAATTGGGCTCAGGGCGGCTAACAACAAATTTAAAACACTTTAAAACACTTAATTATAAAAGCAGCATAAAATACAGTATAAAAACATGAATAACAATAAAATTCAAAAATCAATTAGATAATCCCCAGGGCTAGCTGGCTGAATTGGTCCTACCTGAGCCAGCGAGGAGGCCAGGGGAGAATTAGCTTTGGGATCTCAGAGCGGGTGATCTTCATTGAAGGGGAGGGGGAGGGAAGAGAAGGGAAATAAAAGATCAGGCTGAATTCAGATTAAAGGCCAGGCGGAATAGCTCTGTCTTACAGGCCCGACGGAAGGAGGTTAAATCCTGAAGGGCCCTAGTCTCATAGGACAGAGCATTCCACCAGGTCGGAGCCATCACTGAGAAGGCCCTGGCCTGGTGGAGGATAGTCTGACTTCCTTAGGGCCCGAGACCTCTAAACTATGGTTATTCATGGACCTTAAGGTCCTTTGCGGGGCAGACCAGGAGAAACGATCCAGTAGATATGAGGACCGTAGATAGGGAGGACAACGCTGCCGGCGGGGCTAGAGGAGGCGGTCAGCGGCTGGAGGGTGGCTTCTCTGGCAGGGAAGAGATGGAGGCTGGACGCGGCGCCTCCCGGCTCAGCTGGCCGCTTCGTGCCGCGGTGGCCATGGCAGACGGAGGCTCTGGGTGCAGCGCTGCTTCGGCGCGGCATGGCGGAGGCAGGCGAGGGCGGTGAACTGATGCCGGGAGGTGCCACGTCCAGCCTCTGCCTCTTCCCTGACACCCTCCAGAACTTGGTGCCCTGGCGCCCAGCGCCACTAGCCTCTATGGGTAAGATGGCCCTGGGTACCATTTTGGGGAGGTGCAAGGAGGAGGCCAAACCTATCCATTCTGAAGGAAATCAGCTCACTGGAAGGACAGATCCTGAAGCTGAGGCTCCAAGACTTTGGCCACCTCATGAGAAGAGAAGACTCCCTGGAAAAGACCCTGATGTTGGGAAAGATGGAGGGCACAAAGAGAAGGGGATGACAGAGGACAAGATGGATGAATAGTGTTCTTGAAGCTACGAACATGAGTTTGACCAAACTGCGAGGGGCAGTGGAAGACAGGAGTGCCTGGCATGCTCTGGTCCATGGGGTCACTAAGAGTTGGACATGACTAAACAACAACAACAACAACAACAACAACAACAACAACAACAACAACAACATACATTTTTGTACACATTGCTTAGCTGGAGAGCTGCATTGCAAAATTCAGAGAAGTGCAAATTTTGAAGGGCAGCTGCGTTTTGGTTCACATATTGTTTTAGGAACGTGCAGATTAAGAAAGTTCATCTTTAAATGCAAACTGAACCAAATTTCCTCCCTGTCA